CTGAGCTACCTCCAGAAACAAACTCACCACGCACAGCTGCAGGGTGGGCCGGGCTAGGGAATTCCCAGCTAGTTTTGAACAAAGAAGCTGGGAGTCCAGGAGAACGAAGGTGTAGAAGGTGCGTTGTGATGGAAGGCAGGGAAGATGTGGTAGAGTGGACGGTTGTGGCTACACCATCTGCATGTGTGGGAGACGTGAAGATGGAGACTCCAGCATGCACCAACAAAGACTCAAGAAAATACGAAAGAGGGAACTGGAGATCTTATAGGTCAGAATATTCCAGAATGAATTGAATAAGTAAAGGCAGGAGTCCTTGGTAAAAGATATTCTCTATGTGCGGAGAAAATAAAATAAAATTCATACATAACTTTAGCTCTGTGGAACTGAAGAACCGTGATAAACAGTAAAATCTTTGGAGTGATCAAAGAAATGACCTGTTACCGAAAAAGGGACATTTAGGAAACTTCTCATCGGCACAGTCCATACTATCAGTTAATGGAGCAAAATTGTCAACGTGCAGGGTTAATGTCTATTAGCCTCGCATTCTACCCAGCTTGACTGTCATCTGAGAGTAGAGGCAAATGGATGAACTTTGTAGCCAGACAAAGACTATGGTGGTTTACTAGCCCTGACGCTGAGACCACTCAGTGTGGATAATGAATCCAAGCAGAAAAACAAATGGAATCAAGAAAAAATAGCTAACAAAGAAACAAAAAAGAAACTGGTACGTCTGATTGGTTATTGGTTACTAAAAGAAGAAAAGCAAACAGAATGTTGTACAATTTTTTTTAAAGTGAGGCTCTTGACAATTACCGGTAAAAGCAGGCATGAATGTCAGCTCCTCGTTAGACCAGAAATGACCCAAGAAATAGGATTTTGCTTTGCTATATGCTATACCTTCAGCCCATAGCAGAGTCTAGTATTTGTGGAATGAGTAATTAAATGAGGTAGCGTAGAAGCAGAGATATATTGGGTACCTAAAGTCAAATTTTTGTCTTTATAGTCAAATTCTAGAAGGGACAAGAGATACTGATAAAAATAAGGTTAATGCTAAAAGAATAGAAATGCCATCAAGAGTTTCAGAAACAGATTGGGGTGGGGGGTGGAACTGAAGAGAAAAAAAAAAAAAAAAAAAATTGCCACAAAGGTTTTCAAAAAAAATTGGGGTGGGGGATGGAACTGAAGAGAAAAAAAAAAAAAAAAAAAAAACATTGGCCCAACAGAAGAAAGAAAAGCAGAAAGCTGATAAGAGAAACCAGATGGTAGAAATAAGTCAAATGAATTAGCAGTGATCACAACACACATGAATTAAATCAACCTACCTATGAAAGGACAGAGATCATGAAATTAGATTAAAATAAATGGACAATGAACCAGAAATTTCCCGAGCAAAGTTTAAGAAATAAGGTTAGGGAAATGATATTTAAGGTATATATTAATTGAAGGAAGCTTTTCTAAGATTAATGACAAATAAAATAAGATTTAGTACAAAGAGTTACCGAGGATAAAGAAAGGCACTTCAGCAAGCCATGCAACTGAATCTACTAAGCATAATCTTGTATGCAGTGAACAACAACATGAAATATAAGGTCATAACTAAGAGAATTAGTAGTTAGTAACTAACTAAGCCCCATTTAGAGGGGAAGATTTGAACACATCTCTGTTATAAAATTCTAGATCAAGTAAACAATAATATTAGACAGTCTGGAAAATTTGTTTGACATGATAAAAAAACATTTGACCCAAGAGATAGAGCTACAGAGATCTGTATCCAGTAACAATAGGGAATATGTATTCCCTTCGAGAACAAGCAGAGTATTAAGAAGGGGTCATAGATTAGGACTTGATTTTCAACCAATGAAATGAAAATCAATTTAAAATTCTGGCATACTTAGAAACCAATGCATGCACTGGTTTCCTGGTGGAAACAAGAAGATAATTCCACTGGTTGTCAATAATAGAATCACATGTTGATACTTGGAGGTGAGTTTATAAGTTTTCATTTTTATTAAGAAATAAAGAAGATGAAAAATAAGTGAACTTTAAGATTCTAGGAAAAAGACAGCAGAGAAAATCCAAAGAATTCTACAGAAGAAACTTTAATGATAAAATCGAGAAAAAAGTTAAACCAGGCCCTCCCAGGTGGCGCAACAGGGTAGGACGCATCACTGCAAGTTGGCCACAGCTGCTTCAGAATGAGTTTGACCCCCTCCCTGGAGCTAACCACATGTCACAGCAGACCTCTTCTGTCTCACCCACTGCTCCCCTCAGCAGTACTTCATCCATGCCATCTAGTCTTCTCCCCACTCTGTCTCTCATGAATCCTTTCACCACCCCTGCACATCGGGCCTACACCCCAGTTCTGAATGCATAAATAAATACATCTTTAAAAAGTAAATAAAAAGTAAACAGTTAAATCAAAAGCAAAGAGACATTATAAGAGGCCAACACAAGTTTGTATGACTTTGATGCTAAGTCATTAAAAAAGATTAAAATTTGTTAAATACGCTTATTTATATATACACGTACATAAGTAAAATAAATATCATTCTGTCCCTTCCTATATATTGTAAAAGGTTAATGGAAGCCCTCCCTGGTGGCACAATGGGTTAAAAGTACAGCACTGCAAAGCTACCCACAATGGCTTCAGCAGAAGTTCGATCCCCAGCTAGGAGGGTGACCCACATGGTGGAGCAGACCTCTCCAGTCTCCCCGCTGCTCCCCTCAGCAGTGTACTTCATCAATCTGTCTGTTCTGCTCCCCACTCTGTCTCTGGTGAATCCTACCACCCCCTGCACCTCTGACCTGTACCCCAGCTCTGTATGCATAAATAATCTTTTAAAAAAATAAAAGGGAGGGAAGGGAGCTAAGAAAAAAATAAAACCCTTTTCCCCAAATCACAATTTTGCTAAAGTTTACTCCAAATGGGCCTGTCAGAGTCTCATTTTGGTCACTGGTACTTCACTTAACCTGCCTGGGCCTTAACTTCTCAGCAGATACCAAGGTCACTGTTCTTTCTACTGAGAATGTGGCAGAGAATGTCCCAAATTGCTTCCACAGATCTCCCACAGATCTCCTACGAGTGAAGCTCAGGAGTTCATTTGCTGAAGTCACCTGTACAATGACGCAGCTGTTTATAGCCCTCCAAGGGAAGCGTTGACAGATTTTTTTCCCTCTGTGAGTGAAAAGGTTTATGAGGGAATTAAGGGAACATAATAGTATGGATCACAGAATTTAAGGTGGAAAGGGACCTTCTGCTCACTGAGCAGGGATGCCTGTTACCACCTCCCGAAAGGTAGTGAATCAAGTTCCACTTTTGCACCTCACGGCGACAGGTGTTTGCTGCACGGGCCTGCTGGCGTGTTCTGGGGAACCACATGGATAGGCTCTCCTGTTGAACAGAAGTCTCTTTGACTCTCCCACTGCTTTTAGCTTCTAAAGCCACATGTAAAAGGTTCACTCCCACACGACAACCCTTCAAGTGTCTGAAAACTACAACCCGGCCCCCTTCAGACTTCCCTTCTGGTCACACAGACGCCATTCCTTCAGAAAGGGGAGAAAGGAGCCATCCTGAATACCTGTCATAGTGCTCCATGCTTTAGAGGAAGGGTTTTACATCATCTTCAAATTCCCTGTGTTTAGCTCTGTGTTCATCAGATATGCAAATTAAGGCCCAGGGAACCTAGTTAAGGTCAATAAATTAGGCCAGTCTGAGTCCACCCACGACTCCATTAGGCTGTTCCTACTGGTAGTGGACACCACCACCATCCTCCCGACATTGCCAACCTCTTCCCACCACACTCTAATATGTACACCTAAGCTGTCAAGCTAGGCCCGATCTCACACAGTGACTCCTAGTAACCCTTTTTAAATATTTTAGATTATCTGATGCTCTCTGCAATCCTTTGACTAGGCAAGAAAGGCATAAGAACTCACACAAGACAAATCAGGAAGATGTGTGGCCCCAGAGGTCAGCCAACATCAGTGAAGGAACTGGCAAGCACTCTCAAATCTGCACATTCACCGTCTTGCACTGCTCTGGGGTGCCCTGAACCCCACCGGCGTGGCGCGCTGGCCCTGCCCAGGTAATCTGGCTGGAAGCATCAGAACTTCCAGCGGCCGTGGCTTCTGTAGCAGCTGACCGCCATTATTGCCGTTTCTAGATTCCTTTGGTAAGTAGCCCCCAAAATCTCTTTCCCTGTTTTGTCAAAACTGTTGACATTTTAGTCTCTCCTCGTGCAATTGTTTTTACACGGATCCTTGAAAACTCGCTCCTCCCAATGGCTCCATCCCAAACCCCAGCCTGGGGAGTACTTAGATAGCCTATGTGTCACCCAACGAGGCAGCTATTCCGGTTAGAACTGGCACCTTGACAAACACCTTGACAAACACCTCGTCACGGAATTGTTGATGGCACTGCTGGGAAGCACAGTGCTGAGGACTGGGCCGAGGGGTGAGCTCCTGAGGAAATGTGATGGCAGACGTGGGAACCTCAATGTACATTTAGATACTACCATTGCCCAGGGTGGGGCCACCCAGGGGTGTGTGGGAGGAACTATGGGTGCCAGCACCTGTGGAAACACACTCCTGTGTGTATGTGTGTGGGGGAGGTGTGGGGGGGGGCAAGCGGCACCCATGGAGACACCTCAGCATCACCTGACATAAAGTCACCCTCCTGTTCATTACCAGCCATGTTAAGGTCGCAGAGACAATAAAACACCACTGCTCCTCCCAGCCAATGACTTCCTCCTAAGTGGGATTCAAAGTGCTTGGGCACCCCCCAACCCCCGATGCCTGCCACCCCATCCCTTCAGGGCTGGCTCTTCCCTGAAGTGGTCCCCACCACACACACACACACACACACAGAGCTTGTTTTTCTCTAATTGCTTAGCACTTTCTCCTTTTCCTGTTACCACTTCTCCCAAACAGATGGTGTTTATAGATAGACAGGAGAGATGGAAGTTATTCAGCTGCAAAGCTGGTAACACCCAGACACCTACCTTCTGAAGACGCCAGTCAGAAGACGGTCCTCCTGGGCAGCTGCTAAAATAGCTCTGAGCAGGACTGACGAGGGCCCGGGCAGTGCTCAGGGACCGGGCCACATTCTGCTGTGCTTGGAGCCTGTCAGCTGGGGTTTTTCCTGTTCCCCGTGGGCGCCCAGGGCAGGAGTGTGAAGTCTGCGTTCAGGCAGCCAGCAGCCAGGAACAGCTTTTCCCTGAGCTGGGAGCAGTCACGACGCCAGTGGATCTTCGTCAAGTTCCTGCTCGATTCCTGTCTTCTCTGCTCGAGCTGCTGTCAGGACTCCCGAGAAACAGTGAGGTTTGCAGTTTCTGAGCAGGGGCAGCCTCCCTCCCGGCAGCAAGGTCTGGTGGAGAAGACACCAAGCAGAGAGGGAATTAGGGAGAGCGTTTGTGACTGTGTCTTGGGAACTCCAGGAATAATCATTAAACATGGAGCAATGCACACACGTGCACACACACACGTGCATTTGACACCCAGGACTCTTGAGTCTAGAAGGGAGGGGAGTTAGGGTTTCAGAGGAAAGAGCAGTCTGATTTCTGAACTAGCTTCCAGGAAAGTTTAAGCAGAGAGGACCACAGTGGGGAAGCAGTACACAGTGCTTGGGGGGGGGGGCAGCTACTGAGAGGGACATGAGAGAGGACACAGGTTCTCCCAGGTAGGGTTATAGTTGCTCCCCAGGGGGCAAGAGCCTATCTGTCAGAGGGTCTGGCCGTGCATGGGCCCACATTCCCCAATAACAACTTCAGGGATGTCCCTATGAAAGACCAAACTGATGCCATGACAGGCTTCAGAATGCTTCTGAACCAGCCAGGCCTAAGTTTCGGTTATCAACAAGGCGCAAAGGCCGAATTTAACTGTAAATGTCCTAATCTTGCTCATCCCATAGCAACAGCCAATTACAAGTAGGCAAGTAACCACTACCTACCAGAAAAACGCCAGACGTCCTAAGGTATGCGGCCGAGTAGTGAAGGTCACATCTTCCCAGGTTAAAACAAGATAACTTTGCTGAGCTGAAACGCCCCTCTGCTGGGCTGAAACTCCCCTCTTCTGTAGACCCTTCCTGCCCTGAGCTCAGGGCTCTCAACTTCGGCTGCTGCATCACTGCATGTTGGGAGCCCAGGCTGGGGCATGCAATAAAGACCCTCGTGTGCTTTGTGTCGGAATCGGCTCCTTGGTGGTCTTTGGGAAACTCGAAACCTGGCACAACACCTACACCCGCCCTCTCCCTTCCCAGTCAAAGATTTCTCTTTGGGCTCCTGTCTGTAGTAAAGAAAGATACTTTTGCACCATCATTTGCGATGAGGCCTAAAACTCTGGGGGCCTCACTGGCGGAGGCCACCCCACATTGAGCTGAGGAGCACAGGCTTCCTATTTGATCGGGCCTGGGGTCCTCCCAGCTCCACCCTTCACAGTGTGGGGGAGTTCCGTTGTTCTCTGAACGTCATCTCTTAATCTGTACACTGGGGGCTACCACGTACCTCTTCCTTGCAGTCGCGTAGGGGCTAGGGGAGCCGGGCTTTTATTGTACAAACAGGCCTGTGACCCCTTCTTAAAGCAGCCGTGATGACCACCGGCAAGGAGGTGCCAAGGCTTCCTGCATCCGCATAAATGATGGAATTCACAGGAGAAAAGCAAAGAGAACCCTGAGGACACAGAGGGGCTTGGGTAGGAAGAGGGAGAGAGAGGAAGGCGCCAAGACCGCCGACAGCGCCCCCTTCCGTGAGGGAGGACCCCGCCGCCAGTGACCCTAGCAGGTGGGTCAGCTAGCTGCAATCGTTCGGTGGGGATTTAACCTGTGTGAGGGACCCTCGCTCCCAGGTCAATTGCCAGTTTAATACATTCCATTTCTTCATCTTGGTCCTCAAGTCACTTACAGTGAGTGGGGAGAGGAAGTACCGGCAAGACAGAAGATGGGACGTGGGACCAGGGAGGCGCCATCTGGGCACTTGAGGGCTTCGGGACACACAGCGCCCCCTGGAGGCTGAGTCTTGAAGGGCAGGGTCCGTGCAACCTGAGCAATCCTGCCCCCCACCCACTCTCTCCCTGCCCCCAACAGCTGGCAGAACGTGGGACTCTGGTGAGCAGAGCAGGGGAGACCTGCCTCTCGCAACGAAGTATTGGGGTACTGGGGTACGGCTGCGCTAGGGAGGCCACGCCCAGGGAGGGTTCTGACAGGCGGTGCTCAGAGTAAGTTCCGAGGGCTGGCAGAGACCTGTGAAGGAATCCACAGCCTGGAAGGGTAGGAACAGCAAAGTGGGTGTGTAGGTTGAGGGAGCCCCCCCCACCCCCCCGCCAGGACAGGCAAGTCTCCCCCTCCCCCCCAGGACAGCAGTGAAGGGTGGTGTGTGGTGAGGTGTGTGGTCCTGTCAGGAGTGCGTTAGGGAAGGTCAGGTTGGGAAGTGCCAGGCAGCAGCGTGGTTTCCTGCTCCCTCATTCCTTGCTCCAAGGTGTAACAAAGTCTACTAATAAAATTATAACTTAATCAGCTCTCCATAAAGATTACAAACTTTTGGGGGATCAGACAATATGTACACACGCACACGCACGACTTTGAGCCTGTGTGCTTTTTGGCTCCATTTTCTAGCAATTTCCCTACATTGAAGCATTAAGCTTGTGTAGACAGTCACTTCACTTAGTGTCAGTTCTAATGTATACAGATCTTACCAGCCCTGGTATTTGGATGTCACTATAGCTACCATGTTGTCAATTGGATGATGACAAATGTGTGGCAGTTTTAGTCTTTCATTCTTGTCATGTCCATACATACTACTTTAATGGCAAAGCAATGAGATTACCGGCATTAAAACCACTAATGGCTTCCTGTCCCCAAGCTCATTCTCAGATCATTTTGCCTGAGGCCGAAAAAAAACAGAACCAAAGGGTAGCACATCTTCCCAGAGTAGGAGCTTGGTCTCCTTGGTCTTGGTAATTTTTAAGTCAACTGAAACTGGTTCCTGTTCTTCTTTAGAATGTAGGAGGGTAAAAGGCCACTCTTTGTGGGGGGAAGGAAATGCGCTGGACTATGGTGATGGCACACGGGTGATTGGGTGATGGGAAGCCCACGGGGATTACAACTGAGATGAAAAAATGCACAAAATGATGTAAAAATAAACTACTATTATTTTTTTTAAAGGCCACTGTTTTATTGGCTTCAGGTGAAAATTTTCCTTATGACCAACTCTACTCTTCATTGAACCTGTTTTCTTAGATAATTGAAACTCAGATAAAGAATAAAAATTCATCCCTAGGGGAGAATTCAAGTCAGGTGTGATTTCATGTATGCCTATAAGTTATGGAAGGCGATTTGGATCCTCTCTAACCAAAATGATGCCTGGTTTACAACCCCCACCCCATTCTTAAAAACTAATGATTTCAACATTTACTTGGCATGAAACCCCTGACCCAAGCAACCCACAGGGCAGTGATAGAGTCCCCCTGGGTGCACTGGGTACAGGACACTCATTTATTGGCTAGCAGCAGGTAGTTTTTTCACCTGAGAAGTCTGTACCTGGGAAGATCAAATATTTCAGGCAAAAATGAGGCAGGTGAGGCTCCATTTTAAAGGTGCTCTTTGGGCAATTTGAATATAACCAGAAAATTCTAAACGTGAATCTATTTGATGCAGCTTTTCTGTACTTAGCTCCTATCTTACAGAAATGCCCACACAGCATTTCTTATTCAATTTCTTAAATTCTTAAATTCTTACCTGGCAGGCAGACCATGTGTGAGAATATCTCTCTTAATGCTGTCTGCAACAGCAAGATAGGGCAGTTAGTCAACCGCTGATCCCAAACAGGTTAATAACACATGAAGGGCTAATATTCCTTCAGCAGAAGAAGGTAGATGGATGTCTAGTGCTGTAGAAGCATCCTTGGCACGTTGGTTCACGAATAAAGCAAGCTTCAGAATCGAATGTGATCCCAATCGGGAAAGAAAATGAATGATTTGGCACAGGCCATGTGGCTATATATGTACACTCTGCAGTCGATGTCCTGGGGTCAAGTCCTGGCTCTACTCCTTCTCAACTGGTCCCTCTGGGCTCCCTCATCTACAAAATGGAAATTATAAGAGCACCTGCCCCAGTCACGTGATAGGATTTAGCCAGTCAGATACACTATTCGTCACGACCTGTGCTGAACTTGGAGGAAAAGGGGAACATCAGTTTTTACCATATGTAATCCTAGACAGTTGTAATTTTTACAGCCTTCAGAAAATAGTCACTGAACTAGAAGCCATCTATGAACATGATAGTGCTTGCCATGCCTCCATTGACTGAGGATTGATAAAGGGTGAAGATATTTATATATCTCGATATATAAATAGATAGATTGAGTTCAACATCAGGATACTATGAGACTCTCCTCCCAGGAAAGAGAGGTGTTGGTCAACAAGAAAGTCACATCATGGGGGAGGAAGACTTCAGATCACAGGAAAGCCATGTTCTTTCAGAATCAGAACTCCTCAGCATGAAAGACTCCATCCAGCTTTCGACCTTGAGACCTGACCAAATGGTACCTTCCAGGCCAAGAGTATGTCTTCAGGCTAACCCCAGCACCCCTTAAAATGCCTCTAGCAAACATAACACTGTCAAAAGAATTTACTATTTCAGCTGAAAACTGACTACCTGACTCTGACATTTTTTGTTTTTAGAGCAGTGACTTTACAAAACTTGCAGTTATGAACCTTACCCTGCCCCTTTGAGATATAAATATTCTACCGTCATGAGAACCACTAGACTAGAAGATAATGTAGACTACTGACTAGCCAGTACACCGTCATTAAACTCCAGTGTTTAAACTGAAATGGGGGATATCTCAGGCTTTGGGGGGTATGCAGCACCCTTGCACACATCATGGAGATGACCAGAATCTTGGAATCTGCGGCAGTTGCACACGCCAGAAGCCGAGAACAATCCATCAACATGATTACTCAGGAAGTGAATGTCCTCATGGTCTGCCTGCCAGGTAAGAATTTAAGAATTTAAGAAATTGAATAAGAAAATGGATCTGTCCACACATGGTGAAAGAGAATCTAATGAGCTACAATCCAGGCAGATTCGAAAGCCTCAAATTATCCTTCCTGATACCAGCACAGCCATTTTTGAACACAATTACAGACTTGAAACCCCACAGGGGAATTCAGTGGAAATCATTTCAACATTTATTTGATATGAAACCTCTGACCCAAACAATTCATAGAGCAATTAAAGAGGTAGGCTGGAAAGGTTTTGACAGTAACGCAGTTTGGGGTTTGGTTGACAAATGGTCAACAGAGTAATAATTAGTGGAATCTCAAATTAGATCTGAATGTGAATAAGAATCAAGAAGGATCCCAGAGGGCTCAGTACAGGAAACTGTATTATCTAATATACAGCGCTCATTAACAACCTGGAGGAGAAAGTAAATTCGACTTAGATTAAATTTGTGGATAATACAGAATGAGTGAGAAATGGCAAACACAGGAGACAAATTAAAGTTAAAATTAACGAAGGACTAGACATTTGAGAACCTTGGTCAGAACTAAATAAGAAGGAATTTAATGAGAATAAGGAAACTCTTATGCAGTTGGGTTTGGTTACACTTGAAGGTCTGAGTAATCAGCTCTAACACACAAGGGAGTGGTAAGGTGGATGATAAACCAAGGGGAATTTGGTATTTCTCCAACATACCTCGGGAGGTTGGCTTCATAACTCAGCATATGGTGTTTTAGGGAGATTTTGTAGCAAGTGAAGTGGGAAATGGCAGATATTATCCTGCTGCTCTTTAATTCTTAATTTGGAGAAAGTTTTGCTACAGGAAGATGGAATTATGGTGAATGCATACTCTCATATGTCTAAAAGTGATGCAGTCACACGGCTGTTCTATTGTCATCATCGTCATCGTCATCATCAACTGAGTCCTTACAGGTGGCCCAGACTCTTCAACAAACTCAATTTAGTTTTTAATTTTAATCTTCATCACAACCAGTTTTACTATCCATATTTTCCAAATGAGGAAGCTAAGATGTAGTGAGATTAAGTGTTTTTACCCCAGGTCACATAATAAATAGTACAGAAGGGATTAGTAGCCCATATTCTTTGAGGAAACAGACTACTGCAGGGGAAATTGAGGGAAAAACCGAAGAGATTCCAGGCAAGTTTGAGAGAAATGGTAAAATTTATTTGTAGGCAAGATTGATTTGTCACAGGCAAAAAAATACAAACATAACATTGTCTTCAAAACATTGTTACCTTCCTTTTGAGAACTTTCCTATATTTGGTTAGGGATTTATTTGGCTTGCAAGAAAAAAATCATTTGGCTTAAACAAATAGGGGTTTGTCAATTGTAACAAAAAGACAGAGGAGACAGGTATAATTGATCATTTCCCACATTAGCAGTGCCAGGAACAACCTCTGTATATTTCTTGACCTCTCTCTTACAATTGCACCAACTCTGGGAAATATGCCTGCATTCAAGCCATGAAAAAGCTGGTAGGGCAGTGACATCCATATCTAGTCCCTTGAACAGGAAGACAGAAGCTTTCCCTAAACACTAAGCTGACATCCGTCCTGGCCCCATTGGTCAAAATAGGTCACATGGTGCTCAAGAGTCCACCAAGAACATAGAGAGCAAGTCACTGTGATTGAATTGACACAGCCATGGTCCATGATGGAAGGCAAAGTCTGGGGCTCTCTTAGCAAGGAAGAAAGGACAGATGGGTGCTGGGCAAGAGTTTCATTGCATCCATGGCCACCTCCTTCACTCTTCCTTCAACACAGCAACCCCATTCCTATTTTGACTTAAGCAGTTGATTTGTTCCATCTAACGTGTGAATGAGTAGGGATCCAAGCTGTATGCATCCTATTGATCAGTTTCAGTAGTGTATTTCCAAAGGAACTTAAATCACCCACCTGTAGGAATAGGTTCTGAAAAGTCACATGTTTGCAGGAGCAAGCCCTTCCAGAGGACTTCAGCTCACTGGGCAAGGGTCCACTGGACATCTCTGCAAGTAAATGAAGTCAGAGTTAGAGACATCCCAACATGGAAGGATTAAGTTGGTAGATACTTCAAACAGGGAGGCTCAGTTTTTTTTTTTAAAGATTTTTATAATTTATTTATGCATACAGAACTGGGGCACAGGCCAGAGGTGCGGGGGTGGTGAAAGGAGTCACCAGAGACAGAGTGGGGAGCAGAACAGGCAGATCTACTGAAATGCACTGCTGAGGGGAGCAGTGTTTGAGTCAGAAGAGGTCTGCTGTGCCATGTGGGTCATATTCCTGGCCGGGGATTGATCTCATTCTGCAGCGGCTGTGGATAGCCTCCCAGTGCTGCACTTTAACTGATTGCACCACCAGGAAGGGCCCCAGTTTTATTCCTGATAGTCCAAAAAGAAGAAAAAATCAGGAGCAACCCAAATATTCATCAAAGAGCAAATGAATAAGCACATAGAGAGACAGCCACGTGGTGGAATACCATGGTAAGCAGATACTTGACACAGGCAATAGTGTGTCTGAGTCTCAGAAACTTTATGGTAAATGAAAGACAGGAAATGCAAGCGACATGGAGTGTAGAAAACCATCTATATACATATATAGACAAACAAATAAATACATTAAAAAGAAAAAGGAAACCACTTATATGACAAATAGAGAAGGCAAATCTGTAGGAACAGATCTTGCCTGTGATTTACTGAATCTGGCAGAAATTTGGGGTGTCACAGGCAAGTTCAATATCTTGACAGTAGAGGTTGTACATGTCTGTCCAAGCTCAACACATAACCCTAGGAACAAGCGCATTTAATATGTGAAGCTACCACAATAAAGTCAGCTTATCTGATGTAGCTACTCTTTTAAAAATTCCTGCCCATGTCTCCTTTTTCCCATGTCTTTAGGCTGTTTTGGTTCCCAGCCACATTCCTTTTGGAAAATTCCACCTTTGCTTTGGCACAATTCCAGGAAAAGCGGTCTTTAGCCATTACCTGCAGGCATTTATGGCAGTTGCCCAAATTCAGCAAGTTGGCGGTGAACAGTGTGATGGTTGGTTTTTTGTCCTGGCACTCAGCTATTTGGTAAAACATTATTTTGGCTGTTTCTGTGAAAGCATTTTAAAGATGAGGTTAACACTTAAGTGAGTAGGCTTTGGGGCCCTCCCTGGTGGCACAATGGGTTAAAGCACAGCACTATGAGTCGATCCACAGCTACTGCAGCACGAGATTGATCCCGGGCAGGGAGGTGACCCACATGGCGCAGCAGACCTCTCCTGACCTGCCTGCTGCTCCCCTCAGCAGTGTGTTTCCTTAGATCTGCCTGTTCTGCTCCCCTCTCCGTCTCTGATGAGTCCTCTCATATCCTCCACACCTCTAGACTGTACCCCAGTTCTTGTATACATAAACAAAACATCTTTAAAAAAATAAACAAACAAGTAGGCTTTGAGTAAAAACCACTTGCCCTCATAATATGGATGGGCCTCTTTTAATCACTGGAAGCCCTTAACAGAAAAAGGCCCCTAGACAAGCAGGGAATTCTGCTTGTGATCTGCTTTTGGGTTCTGCAACTCTCCCAACGATCTCCAGCCTACTGATCTGGTCCATAATTGCTTGCACCATTCTCTGAAACCTTCCCCTGCCCAACCATGCACCGATATGCACACATCCTATAGGTTCTGTTTCTCTGGAAAACTCTCACTGATGCAGACAGGTAGAGTGATGGAATGAGTGAGCAGAGAAGTCCCAGGCCCTCTGTGCCCAAGCTGTCGCTGAGCGTTATGGTGAAGAGTAGAGTTAAGGGCAGGGACTGCCCGTTCCGCTGGTCCCTGTGCCAGCGGCCTGATCTCAGACCAGTGCTTGGGTTTCCTGAGACTTTCCTTTGGGAAGAAAAAAATCACAGGCTCATTAGGTGGGGCTCCATGAAGCAGCACCACCAAGCATTCTCCCTGTACCGTCAGTGGTGCTGACAAGGAGCGGCCCCATGGGAGACTGTACCCCGCTCCGGCACTGCTCCTGTGCTGCCTCTGCACACCTAGACACTGTCCCCACCATGGTCTTAGATGACAACCAATGTGACCATGCTACTTCAAACCTTAACAGAATCAACCCAGTTTAAACTGGAGTTGAACCCCGACTTTGGTGGGAAGGAAGGACACATTCTTGCCACCCTAGGGGCTCCCACCGGTCGTTTCAGCGGCTTCCAGGTAACGCATTTGGGCTGAGCTCACTCTCCTCATCACCGTCCTCAGCAGGCTTTGGGAGACCCTACTTCTGCTGCATGACACCATTAGCGACGGGGCCCACCCTTTCCCCAGCGAGTCCTCATGTGTACTTGGCTCTATGGACCCCCCATTTCCATCCTAAAGTAATGTTCTGGTCTGGGTACCTGGACGTTCAGTGTCAGACACCATCAAGAAGGCTCACGAGACTGATGAATGGATAGATCTTGATTTGATAAGTCAAATCAAATTAAACTAATGACATTTCAGAGATATTTTTCTGAATAATTTTTTCCTTAGGAACTTGCTACAAAACTCAGCTGCGACTTTGGTTAGAGTTGAGAGAACCATGACCAGATGAAGCCAGCTGGCGGGGGATGGAGGCAGAGACAGTCCTACCTCAGATTTCTGCATTGAGTTCTCCATCTAGGCTCTATGAAGTGGCTTCCTGCCCATGACCTATTTATTCTAGTCCCACCCCACCCGCTCCCTGCTCTCACCTCAGTGCTCATCTTTATGCTTTCTGAGGGGCGAGATAACAGCTGAAGCCCCTCTCTTTCCAGGCAGTCTTGACCTGGAGTCCTCAGCTTATACAGGGATTTCATTTCCCCAGGAGACCAAGGGATGTTGGTACATGCTTGTGGAAATTTCTGGAGAATAGTGTTTGTTCCTTGCTCACCAGAATCTTCGACCAATGCTCAGCTCCCTCTAGGGGTGCTACAAGGAAATGCCTCGGGTTGTGTGTCTCACTTTTTGAAAGATAAAGGGGAGAGTCACAGAGTTTGCTGGGAACAGATTGGTCAGGAGGGGAGGGAAGGCATCATGGTAGCTGTGGAGGAACTGTGTGCATGGCGTCCAGAGACACTCGTGGGAATAGGTCCACACCATGAGAAGAAGCTAGAGAGACATTTGAGTTCATTGTAAGGAAGAGTTCTCCAAGGTTGCTGCTCCCCACAGATGAGGGCAAGTGCATTTCTAGCTCACGTCCGACTGCAAGGAGCACCACGCAGGAAATAGTAAAGGAGGGTGAGCGGTTAGGTTAGAATAGAGGATCTCAACTAGGGGTGATCCCACGACCACCAAGAAGGGGTTATTGGCAAAGTCTGCAGAAGTTTTGGTTGCCACAGCTGGGGAGGGCTGTGAGCACCCAGTGGATGGGCGGTGGCCAGGGAAACTGCCAAACATATAGCAGTGCAATGAAGTGCCCCGACGATGCCGATTTATCAGCCCCCCAATCGATATAGTGGAGAGGGCTGAGCAACTCAGTGAGCGAAACTGTAAGGCAGGTGTGTAATCACCTACTCTAGGCTGTCACACGCTTCAGAATTCTGTGGAAGGATCAGTGACATTCCAGGAATATCCACGCCTTGAATATCCAGATTTCAAGGAGGATCCCTCAGCAGGATTCAAGTGGATGAATCTCCGAAATATATTTTCAGTTTTAGACATTGTGGGCTCTATTTTGGGACTCTGGCCATCCCTTGCTGTAGCCAAAACTGTGAGCCTGTTATTCTCCCCAAAGCAAATTTATATGTACCCACTGCTTCCGCCTACAACTGCGTACTAGCTGGAAGGTGATGTGTGCAAATCAAGGGGTGGGGAGAGGACTCGGGGTGCAGAAGAGCTGGAAACCAGCAAACCCAGGAGTCTGCACTCAGATTTCCCTTAGAGGCCTGAAAACATGGTCCCTAAAACCTCTTCTAAAATTATTTTGATGTGTTTTTTGTGCCTTCTGAGTAATAACACTTACCAAATCCCAGAAAAGTCCTGGAACCCACAAAGAAATTCATTTTTACCAGGCTTACCATGCGTAGAGCTTGAAAATCAAGCTGAGGTCAGCCCTTGGCTTGCCAACTACCATCAAGGCATTGGGCAAAGCATTTTTAACCTTTTCTAAGCTTCAGTTCCATCATTTGTAAAGTGGGATGAACAACATCGACTTCATAGTTCATCTGTGAAGATTATGGGTGCAGGTATACACACGACACCTCATGCATTAGGCGGCCTTCAGGACGTGGCAGGGATTATCTGTACGATTAGCTCCTTAGGGGTGTTAAATAGCGCAAAGTATTGCACTGGGTACTGAATAAGGACATTTCATGCCATCTTGAAACTTAGAGCTTACTCTAATTACAGTGCTCCATTATTATTCATTAAAATGAATAAGTAGCAGCCCTCCCTGGTGGCGCAGCAGGTTAAAGCACAGCACTGAGAATCTAAAGCCACTTCCGCATGAGTTCGATTCCCGCCTGCCCCGGAGGTGACCACATGGCGTGGCAGACCTCTCCTGACCCGCCCGCTGCTCCCCTCAGCAGTGTACCTCGTCGATCTGCCTGTTCTGTTCCCCTCTCTGTCTCTGGTGAAGCCTCTCGCCGCCCCTGAGCCTCTAGCCTGTACCCAAGCCCCAGCTCTGAAAGAATAAAAAAATCTTTAAAAAAAAATGAATAAGTAGCTGCCAATCGATAACACAAGACCTCATTTTATCCTCCTAACAACCTAGGGGAGAGTATGAAGAAACTCACTTTACAGATAAAGAAACTGGGCTGAAGTCACTGCAGCTCCCACGTGGCAGAGGTGGAACTGGAGTCCACGCTTGCACTGGACACTGTGGCCACTGCTTCCTCTGCTTTCACCTGGATCTGGATGTCCTACGAGCTCTATAACCGTGTGTCTGGCTCTAGATAGTGGGCTGAGTCCATTGGGCTTCTCGCTTGGAAATCAGGAATTAAGAACCTGAGAGATGGAGGCAGTTTCCTCAGGGGCTGAAGACAGGAGGGCTGTGGTGATGCCGAGGACCA